TCAAAGGCAATGTCACGCTTGATCGGAAAATACTGGAAGTTTGAAAGACTAGAAATGTGAATGTGCACTTTGATAGTGCTTAAAATAAGAAGAAAACCTAGTTACAAATCAAATTAATCTTATGAGCCTTCTTGTCGATAGTGGGTGAAGAAATTCAAAACCAATAAAAATATGTTGCGAAAAATGGAAGTGTGAAAGAATACAGTAATATAGAATTTAGTTTAATAAAAACTTAGTTGTATAAAAAGGAAATGGGTTCATCTAATCTTACGTTACATGAGAGAAGATCTCTTATGTTGTAGACACACATGAAATGTGGTCTGTAATTTACAAAATATATATATATATATATATATAAAGAATGTTACGATTTTCGATTAATCTATTAGAAATAAAACTACTCTTAATTTGTGTATAAATAGTTTTGCCAAAGGAAATTTGTGTGTTTTGCCAAAGGTAAACAGCAAAACAAATTATAATTGACTTTCGTTGAGCAAATAAATTGAAAAGAAAGGAATGGTGATTAAAATTTTCAGAGTACCCCGACAAAGCCTTCGTGAAGATACTGTCCCGGCCTTGAATAAATTTTTGTTACTAATGTACCTAGATTCAGTACATCTCATTAATAAGAACATTACACATCAAAAGAAAGAGAAAAAAATTGACAGAAAAAAGAAAATTTTAACTAACATGTAATATTTTCATCGGTGAGATATACTCAATTTTTAATATAACAGTAGTACCAAAGATTTATTGCCCGACCTTATGCCATGTGTACTAAACTGCATACAGTGCACACCCCAATGCTAGAACACGACTGTTAACCTAATCATACAGTGTGGGCCTTCTTCCCTTTCTTCACCCAAACAAAAAACAAAAAACCTCGAAGAATTCATCTTCGTATAATCATTTCTGGCACTGGTGCTCCAGTGGATCCAAGTGTTCCAAAAAAATATAGCCATCATAAAACTAGTTTAATATCATAATAATATTTTTCTCACCTTATAGAAATTAATTTTATCTTCCTTCTCGTGCACATAAAAGTAAGTATATGGGCCCCTTATATTATTTTTTTCTATCTTTTTCTTACATGATCTCATATAAGGCTCACATAATTTTATGTATATATATATTAAATAAAATTATTTCCTACAACATGAAAAATATTAATCCCAATAATATCACGGTATATCTAATCCATATCTGTCAAGAACAATTATACATCTACCTATCTGGAAACCATGATATCACATGGAAAACTATGATTTCTGTTTTGACACTTAATTTCCCTTATTTTTTGCATCCCGGGTAGCTGCTTATACAACGGATCAGATTCTCATTCTGATATTGCAATTTAAAATGATCAAAATATATAAATATATGGATGGAGATAATTTTATATTGATGTAAGTTATACTCTCAATATTAATCTTACTTATATCAAATGATTTTGATTTGTTAAATATGTGAACCGTTAGATACAAACAAATCAATGAGATAAAACTTTTTATCCTTACACTAATCTATATATCCATTTATTATGTAGCAATAACAATATGTGAAATAATAACAATAGTATTATGACTTGGCATCAAATAAATCCCCTGCAAGTATCACAACAACTGACATAGCTAAACACAGATTGTGGCAGTTTCAGGGGTGTTTTTGTTCATAAACATAAAGTTGGCATAATAGTGTGTCAAGTTTTTGGGACTGTCCCAATTATGAATCATTCCACTTACAAATTTGTGTGTCGTTTTGCTAAGCACCAAGGGGGTTTCCTAACATGTTGGATTATTTTATTACAGTGGGCCATCCGTTATGAGCCGCCACAACCAAATTTTTAGCTTATCCAATTTACCCCCGACCCAGTTACCCACTCTCGTTCATTTTAGGCAACACAAACAAATGCTAAGTTATTTTGTAATTTAACGAAGTACAAAGTGCAATAAGGGGTAGAAAGATAAAAAAAAAAAAAATTATCTGAAAACCTTGATTTTCAAAAATATAATTTTTATATTCAGTTAATAATAATATTCAAAACTTAAAAATTAAAAAAAAAATTCAGTTTCTAAAAAATCATAGAGAATGTTGCATACCAAACGTCTCCATGAATCACGCAAATGAGAGGCCGGGAATAAAAGCAGAGCATAGGATGCTTGCTTGCACCGACGAGTCTAAGTAGCCATAGTTGGACCGAGGGTCCAGGACCCACTCCTGCTAAATCTAACCATTTCCGCTGGTTGTGAAAACTGTGTGACCCACTTTTTGCCCTCTCCACAATCTCAGGCCCAAAAATATCGTAATAACTCACTCATCATCAGTAATACATATTCAAAAATGGCTTTTTACAGAAACAGTACCATTATTCATGAGCGAGGAAAGCTGCACACCAGGACCGTAACCACCATTGGCTATTTGGGTAAAGCTTTCACATTTGTACTGGGCCTGGGCCCTAGGCCCATAAGTGTTGATGGAGAAATATTTTGAATTTTTTATACAATAATTGAGTGTTGATAATGTATATACATTGATTTTCACGACAGTCCCCACTCACCGTGGGTCCCACACGGACCCAAATCTTATTCTGAACCGCTCAATGTGCCTCTCACACTCTGCTCTTCTCTCGGAGTCTGGGAAGGGAGGATTTTGAAGATGCTTTTTTTTAAACCCATTGCCATTCACGTCACGCTGAAGTGGGATTAGTTTAACTCTAATTATCACTTTGCAACCTTCTCAAAAAATCAATTGTTTCCGTTCGGTGTCATCATCATCGTTATCCTCAGTCTTCTTCCCACAACTACAACCTTATTTTCGCAAAAAATTTCAACCTGTCATTGTGTGCCCACGTGGCTCGGATAGAGACAGCATCCACGGGCCTTATTGTGCAAGAATCTTACACGTGGTGGATTGTAAGAGGATGCAGTAGAGATGGTTAACACGCCAGTACGGCAGTACCCACGTGGAGGTGGGATCTTGATTGGATGCATTTGATGTTGTCAAACACGATATCTAAGAAATTTTTTAGTGTTCGGAATCATGATTTTTAATAATATAATGAGAAATTGAGTTTATTAAAAATGGTATAAAAAATTGTTTGGTAGACATAAATATTACTGAAAATATTGAATAATTATACTTAGTATGTGTTTGATTAATAGTAAAATATGATGAACTTACGAAACTAATCTTTAACTTTTAAAAATATCAAACCTAGGTTTTGATGTGAGCTGGGATATTTTTGTCTCACAATTTGCTTTTCAGCTTCCCCTAATGTTGGATTTCTCAATTACTACATATTTTTTGGTAATCTGAAATTTTAATTTTCTTTATAAATTTGATTACTGGTAAACGAAGATACCCAAAAAAGACATGTTGTCAACTTGTACCAAATATGACAATTCATGATTACCAACGTAATTTTATCAATCATCTTCAAAAATACCTTGTACCAAACACATCCCTATCGTAATTGTATTAGATAGTAAAAAACACACAAGGAGTGATGGACATGCATTTCTCTCTCCTCTCTACTAATTCGTTAATCCCTTTTATTTTATTTTATATAAGCTTTTTGTGAAAGTTACAAAATATATACGAAATGTTAAATGTACAATTGCTTTTTCAATGCAAGGTGATACATTTTCCTACTCAAAAAAGGAAATGTGTAATCAATTTGTGAAGGATCGCGACAGGTGTACTTTTTTAGTTGCATATTAATTTGATTATTATGTAGAGAAAGTGATATGAAAATTACAAATAGAGACACATAAATATCCTTTACCTCCGCCATCCAAATTCCAAACCAAGTAGTTGAGTTTTTTTTTCTTTTTTTCGCCTTTCAAATTTAAGCATAATGAAAAAAGAAAAAGAAAAATGAAGCCTCAAATGTGAATAATCCGAGTGGCCATAAGTAGAAAGAGAAATATGGGGACCAACGACGAAAATGGAAATTTGATTGAAGAAGCACACGTCGGTAAGCAGAATGGGCATAGCACTCCCTTCTCTTCCCAACTCATCTCCCTCCATTCATTCAACAAAATTGGCCTAATGATTTCACGCGCCATCACAGCTGCGTGCTGCTCAACAGAACAAGACATATATTCAATCTTATTAAAACCGGTTGCTGATTGTCCCGGTCGTGGTATTAGATTACTGGTTCAATTAATGAGTCACCGATTTAATTGCATGTTTTGATAATTATATATAATTCTATGATTTATATTAAAAAATTATACACATACTTAAATATCTAAAAAGATGATAAAAATTTCAAATATTTTAATATATGAAATAATAAATCACATATTATTATCCAGTAAAGGACCCAACAAAAAGTTATAATGATCGTGATACGGGGCTTCAGGTTCATTAAACAATATCTCTAACAATCAATCAAATCAAAATTTTCTGCATATATAGTGCATAACTAAGATAATATTAATGATGTAAGTACATAACTTATGTAAGTCAATAAGTAAAAAAATATTCAAATATGTCCATTATGATTTTTTTTTGGAAAAAAAATTAGAATTTTTTTTTGAGACCGGACCGGGTCACCGGTTAACCGATCGGGTCACCAATTTTCATGAAAACCAGCCGGATCGCACCGGTTCTGATGCATGGCTGGTCTATTGCTTCAATTAGACCAATTATATGACTGGTTTATCGATTTTCGGATTGACCCGACCGAGTCGATCTGATTTTATTAACCTTGGATATAATTATTTGAGACAATTGCATTTATTTTTTCAAAACAATATTTTAATACATTACACATCTTTGTTATTTGACATTTTTCAAATAAACATAGTGTAAAAATTCCTCACAATGTAAAAAATAGAGTGTAAAGGATGAAATATAATTTTATTATAAACTATCGGTAAAGTTAATATTTATTTTTCTAATATCAAAGACGAATACTTATAAATCTAGTATTTGTTTTGACATGGTTATGGTGACAGACAGCAGCTTCTTCTTTTTCACCGTACAACATAGGAGGAAATGCAGACAAAATGAAGGTGAAACTCAAATGCAAATGAAATTTGAGATGAACCCCTGTAAGAAAAAGGCTATATATACACATAGACCACTATGAACACAGCTTATGCCAAACCCAAGCCAGTTCCAAGGGGTAAAGGTAAGGGTAAGGGTAAGGGCAATGGACTTGGAATTAACATAATATTGCCTTGGCTTGGCTTCGTTTCCCTTACTAGCTACCACCGTCTAAACCCAATTCCGCCGTCGCTATATGGCCAAAGGTCGTAAATTCAGCACAAACCGTAGCGAACGCTTCTTGGGAACAACCTATACCCAAGGCTCCACTGCCAACGACCCATCGGAGCTCAGGGAAGAGGATGTCTGGTCCATGGCGGAAGACCATGGCCGCGATGTCATTGTCTCACACGGCGATTGGGAGCCACGGCGTCGGAACAGGGACCAGGACCACCGCCACGTGGGTGGTTTGTCCCAGGCGTTCGAACAACCGTCGTCGAGGATCGTGCACCACCAGTACCGTGCGCACGACGCCGTTGCATCGCCACGTGGACATCTCATGGCCACGTCAGCGCCGGTGAACGTGCCGGACTGGAGCAAGATACTCCGGGTCGACTCGGTGGAATCGCTGCATGACACGGACGACGGTTTCGACGACAACGAGTCGGAGATGGTTCCGCCGCATGAGTACTTGGCGCGTAGCCGGAAGATGGCGGCAAACTCGGTTTTCGAGGGGGTGGGTCGTACGTTAAAGGGCCGCGACTTGAGGCGGGTTCGCGACGCCGTCTGGAGTCAGACCGGGTTCAATGGCTGAGGTGGTCCGGTTCATAATTGAATTGATTGTTATTAATTATTACTGCTGTCAATCAGATTTAAGGGTGGTGGTTAATTTACAAATTTTGGATTAAAAAACAAACAAACAAACAAATAGATTTAGTTATAGTCTTTAGTTGTTCTCATTTTCGTTGTGGGTTGGTAAAATTGAATGGGTGGGTTTTTCTGGTCAATGATTGGATTGGGTCAGGGTGGACTCTTCTTAAGAGAGTCAAACTCTGTGGCCAGTGAGCCTTAGCATAAATTGGAAATTAAAATTAAAGCAGGATCATATGAGACTCAGACCGCTCTAATCCAGTTTTTGGGTAAATCTGTATTCCAGTTACCGTCCGTATATATGATAAAATCTGAACAGGAAATAACTATCCCGTGCTTGGATAAATTTGTATCCCAGTTCTGTTGTTCGCAGTAAACCCCACGACAAACAGAAAGTAAGGCATCGTCGATTTAATTGGTGGTTTGGTTTTATGAATTGTTAAGTAGTATTTGAAGGTTTGATGAGAACCGGACAAGCATGAAGCATGTAACATGAAATACTGTCAACTTAAGAAAGTGTTCCGAGGGAACTTTCGTTGGTTGGTTATTATGCAAATAATGGGAATCACATATATTCTTAAATTACCACCTTTTTGAAACCGGGACCTAATTTATCTCTTTTATTATTAGTATTATTTTTATATACGAAGGGCCGAAATCCCATGACCGGTCTATTAGGACCATTGTTTTTTGTGGGATAATAACATTTCAAATTTTATCTTAAAGTTGTACCATAAAGGAGGAGGAAAAAAGGCTGGTTAAAGACCCCAAACTACACTTCAAAAGTACGAAACCAACTAATTTTTGACTTGTTACCGTGCAAAATGTTAGCGGCTCCTTTGTCTTATGAAAATACTATTTTAAATTTCACATTCATTGAGGTAAGAGTTTCATACAGTTTTAGAGGAACGAGAGAAGTATCTTTTATGGGAAAAGTGTGTATAATTTTGAAGGATGTAAAGTTGTGTCATTTTAAGAGAGAGAAAGAGATAGATAAAGGAGGAGAGAGAGTTGACAAGAAAAATAAAGTTGTGGGTCCCACCTCTTTGTGAGAGTGAAAGGATGTAAGTTGTGTAATTTAAATGTATAGACACTTTTCCCATCTTTTATTATGGTTAAGTTAGTCTTATGCACCATTGAGAATTTATTCCAGTGACTCTTCGATATTTGTATTTGTCTTTTTCCTCTATCTTTTTTTTAAATTAACGAAGCTCACATATGTTTATTCTATTACATAAGACACCTTATCTCCTACGGCACGAGAATAATAATTTTCAAAAATATTATGTGTAAATTCAGTTTGTTTCATTATAATTAGAGAAATCATTATCTCATTTTACATGAGATAGTTATCTCATATTCTTCTCACATAAAAATTAAGCCACTATTTTTTATTTTTTTTAATTGGTGGTGGACCCATCACATCACCTCTCTATAATAGAAGATAATTATTTCCAACAATAACCCCGTAAAATTATTGTGCCACCACATGGTAAATCTTTATCGATATAACATTTTTTTTTTCTTTCCTTTTTCGTTACAAGTCGGTTAGAATTAAATAATGTTTGATATTTTATAAAATTAAAAACACCAGAATGATTTCAATGATAAATTGTCTAGATGCATAACATAATGCATTCGCTTGTGTCTAAAATTAAGAAAATGTAATAATATAAATTATGTATGTACTTATTACTTAAATTTGTTAAATTTTAAAATTAAATATTAAGTCTTAAGAATAAATTTTCAAAATATTTACATATATACCTACATGATATAATTTTTTTTTTGAGTCGATATAAAGCTAACTCAACTAAATAAGATCATGCATTGAGGCTTGTAATATACTTTAATTTTGAAATAAAATGACTTTTTCCTAATTTTTATTATATAAAAAAGCTCTCTTGTAATTCAATAAGTTTAACATTTGGAAATGCAAACGTAAAATGGGAACCAATAAGTCTTACATTAAAAAGAAATTAAGAAAGTAATGATTATAAAAGAAAAAAATTTCACAAACTTATCATTTTTTATAAGGATCAGATATGAACTGTACATTGAACATTAGGGTCACCCATATTCTCAGCATAAAGTCTTAATCCTCTTTTTTTACAATAATCAATTTTTGTTGTTGTGGGGGGGGGGGGGGGGGGGGGTGTGGGTTGAACCTTCCAAGTCTTTAACATCATGTCAAATCGAGGAACCTACCAAAAAACATTAAATCCAAACTATTTAATGTCATTATAAATAATTTGGGGACAAATATAGGGTCACCCAGTGAGAGAGGGACACCAAATGCTTTTAATGTAAAAGTGATGGATGGTACCACTGGCATTGGTACAGGTTAATTAAGGTTTAAGAATGGGAATGAGAAACATTAGGACTTAGGAGACTCAAATGGCAGGCTAATGGTTGTACCCTTTTTTGCATGAAAATGACGCAACTCTTACATGTAGGGCTAACAACTTATGTGGCTTTGGGACCATTGGTTTTGCACTCTTGGTGCCAAAGTTTGATAGAGATTTGGGTAGATATAGTTCGTGCCACGCTTAAAAATCTCTATCACAATCATCGGTCCTCCCATTGAGATAAGCACTTAAGGTTTTGACCAATGGAACAAAAGATGAGCACCGAAGGCCTCTCTCTTTTTATAAGGTGGGACATGCTTTTAACAAACCCTTTACTAAACATCCAAATTTCCAAATTAGTGCTTCGGTATTGTACTAAAAAAAAAAATAGTGCTTCGGTAAGAAAGGGAAGTGAGGACTTTAGTAAGAGGAATCAACAAACTTAGTTTGATGCCCACTTTAATCAAATTTACGTACTTTTTCTGCTTATAGTTGTACTTCTTCGATTTGTAACCGAACCAATATTTTCATGCTGACAATATATAGTACCATTTTTATAATTCTTTAAGCATAACCACGTGTTTTCTTTCTCATTTTCCTTTTCAATTTTTTTTTTTGCAATAAATATTAAAATATGCCTTTCAAATAAGAAGACAACAATAAGAAAATAACTCATAAAAAAACGAAAACAAACATTCCTTCAATTCCTTACCTTATTATTTATTGTATAAACTAGCAGAAAAATATTTCTGCAGTTAACAGATAAGTTATCTGCATTTATTTATTTTCAAAATGACGTCATTTTAGAATTGAAAGATTAAAAAATTATAATTATAAAGACTATAACAACTCTGAAATAAATTAAAATTATCAAAATACCATGATTTTCGTCCCAAAACGACATCGTATTAGGTTTACTGCAGATAACTTATCTGCAGTAACTACAGAAGAAGCGAACTCATAAATAAATAGTTTATCTTGGTAAATTCTATTATATTGTAATTTTTTTTATAGACCACAGGTATCCTCCACGGGAGATAATACTGTTCAAAGTGGGTCCAGAATTAAGACTTTAAACTCCTCTCAAATATGGTACTAAGGGGGATCGAATACATGCTCTCACCCTCACATGCTCAGCTCCCATGCACCAACTGAATTACCATCATTTGGTTTATTATTATAATTAGTTCTATTATTATTATTATCTAAAAATTAACTTTATTATTTCGTTGTTTGTTGCATAGATTCTGTCGTTAAAGAAGTATCACTCAACTATAAATAGATGCATTTTTTTAAAGGTAAATTTGGGGCACAACGATCAAAGTGCCACACTTTTTGGAAAAAAGTACCTGAATGTCATGCTCTTCAATTTTTGTTTTTTTAAAATACCACGTTACCTAACTCGCTACAACGCCTAATGAGTTAGGTGTGGACACGTGGCAGAAGGTGCATGCATGGCCACGTAAGCCTCTGAGCAGTGCAGCGAGATTATATGGCATCAAATGCTCTATGCAGCATAGCATGTTACGTGTGTGTCACAAAATAATTTAAATCAATATAGATTGAATTAAACTAAAGTAATTAACAAACATAAATTACATTTAATTCATTAATACTCCTAAATTAAATTACATTACTTAACGGTTCAAAAAAATAATATAACTTAAACTAAATGAAATGAAATTAATTAACACTCCTAAATAGTTATAAAATAATTTAAATTAATATAGACTGGATTAAACTAAAATAATTAATAAACATAAATTATATATAATTTATTAACACTCTTTAATTAAATTAAATTATTTAACAGTTAAAAAAAAACTAGCTGTTAAATAAAAACTAACATAACTTAAACTAAATTAAATGAAATTAATTAACATTCCTAAAAATAATTAATTAAAATTTATAAAATAATTTAAATTAATATAGACTGAAATAAACTAAAATAATTAATTTAAATTATTTTATAACTATAAATTAATTATTTTTATGCTGCATAACACGTTTTTCGCATGTCACAAAAGCTGACTAAACATGCTATTCTGCATAGCACGTTTGATGTCATATAATCTTGTTACACTGCGCAGCGGCTTACGTGGCCATGCACTTTCTGCCATGTGTCTACACCTCACTCACCAGGTGTTGTAGCAAATTTGATGATGTGACATTTAAAAAAAAATTGCAAAGCGTGGCATTAAGCTAATTTTCTACAAAAAGTGTGACACTTTGGTTGTTCTCCCTAAATATGGCTTCCACCAGGTTAAATTCTTGAAATTTAAACGTCATTCAAATGTGGAACAGCTAGAAAGAATTTTATGAAGTAAAACATGACTTTTATGATAAACTGTATGTTTAAATTATGAGGAAGACTACGCTAATAATATATTTGTTCTTATAATTTTTTATAATTATTCTCGACATTGTTAAATTAAAATTAAATCAATGATAATAAAATGGAGAGTTGATTGGATTTTATTATAACAATAACAAAAATAATTTAAAAAAATTATAAGTATATTCTGAGTCTTAATTTAATAGAAACGCAAAATAAAAGATGAAAGGTCCTTGATTTATAATATTGAAAATAAACGAAGTGCATCCATAATCTCAATTGTCATTTTTCAAATATTGGAAACTTGGGAATTGTAATTATGCATTAGAATGTACCGTAGAAAGAAACCATATTAGTCAATAATCAATTTTAGACATTTGTACAAAAGTAAGAGCCCAGTTATTAACAAAGAAAAGGTACAGCCCATATTTAGTGGAATCGAAATTAAGCCCAACCCCTGTCCTATAGACATAAGAACTGGAAAGTATCCAAAGGCTAATTAAACTAAGGCTGTGTTTTCTACTGGATCTATGGCGAATGTCCGATACATATACTTGAATACATATCAACCCCAGCCCTTTTTTTTTTTAGTTTCCTCCCATAACCATATGGGTTGGTGTAGTGAAATTGATGTTGAGTTGGAAGTTTGGTACTTACTAGTAAGCTTAAATTAACCAAATCTATGTGTGCTTTATTTGTCGAGTTTAGCAATTAAAGAATTATTGGTTATGTGGTTTGAGTTAAGTGTGTGTTTAAATTAGTTTATCCTGAAGAAATATATATATGTTTTTTTAATGAAAATTTGAAATTATTTATTTTGAATTGACTTTTTTCAAACATCTACTTAATATAATATTTTATATTAAATTTGTTTGTTGAGCCACTCGTACCTAACCATTTGGCACTGTTGAAACTAATTCATAGAACTGTACAACATCTTCATTTTTTGTTACCTCTCAAATGAGGTGTATTTATAAATGTCATGTTAACAACTTATCAGAATAAACAGGAACAGAAATATACAAACAAACTCTAATTTAAAATTAATTTCTTTCTTCAACAGGCACAAATATGCACAAAGCTCTACTTAAATCTATACATAGACACATACATGATTAAGCATGAATGGCTCCACAAACCATGTAAGTGCAGACACATGGATTAATCAGTATTGTTAAATTTGGACCAACCATCGATTTAATCAGAATACCAAATCACTGGTTCATCTAATTTTAATAAGATTAGCTTAAACTGTCAATAATATGATATAAAACGAACATATAAGTCTCCAAAATAATATAACTAATTGGGGTATGATATTTTTATATGGGTGTAAGAATAAGAAATTTTATCCCAAATCTTGACCATTGATTTGCTTGTATCTAACTACTCAAATATTTAATAATTCAGAACACCAAACCTAAGTTT